CCCCCGGAAATTACTTAATTGTTAGCGTTTAGGTTTATGGTTTATCCTAATTCATAATGTCAGCTATGATGATAAATAAAATAATTTATAACTTTCATAAATTAAAATAATTTTAGCCAGTGTGTTTCGTAGGCTTATTACACCCACCCACCCTTTATTGCAACTGCAATACCTGGACATAGGGTCTAAATTTTTGTCTCAAGAAGTTGTATAGCAAGATTGCTAGTGTATCTGCGACAACTTTAAAAGTATCATAATTTATCAGTGTAGGACATTCAGAGATGTGACTCTAGATAGGGCTACATATATTTGTCCCATTGCAAAATTGTGCGCCCCTGCGTCAATGACAACAGTCTTTAAGCGTAGGTTTTTTCCGATATTCTTTGGTATTTCTCACTCTTAAYTATAATATTATTATTATACCTAATATAAAATAATAATCCTGCAAACGTAAAACAGACCTGCTAATGTCAATCATACGAAATGTACTGAACCTCTGCAACGGTGATTCGTTATTGTTATCACTGTCTAGCTTATCATACTTCCGTGCTTGGTATTTGTAGATTATTATGTATTTTATATAATATAATATAAGTTATATGTTGTAAGAATAACTTGTATGAATTATCTTTATGTAATAAAATTAAGAACAAGTGATGAATAAATAGCGTGTTAAATAATATATTCATTATAAAGTATAAAAAATACAATATAATATTATCAGTGCAAACATTATTTGTTAATATGATTTATCCTGTGGTTTTTCACCAGTGTGTGTGTTTTGATGCATTGACAAATTGTTACTTCTGCTGAACGATTTTTCACATACATCACACTCGTACGGTTTTTCACCAGTGTGTGTGCGTCGATGTATCATCAATTTGCTACTTGTAATGAACGATTTGTCACACGCATCACACCCGTACGGTTTTTCACCAGTGTGTACGCGTCGATGTATTATCAATTGGCCATTTGTTGTGAACGATTTGTCACACACATCACACCCGTACGGTTTTTCACCAGTGTGTGTGCGTCGATGTTTTATCAAAGCGCCACTCTGGTTGAACGATTTTTCACATACATCACACCCGTACGGTTTTTCACCTGTGTGTATGCGTCGATGTACTATCAATTGGCTATTTGTTGTGAACGATTTGTCACACACATCACACCCGTACGGTTTTTCACCAGTGTGTGTGCGTCGATGTGTTATCAATTTGCTACTTGTACTGAACGATTTGTCACACGCATCACACCCGTACGGTTTTTCACCAGTGTGTGTGCGTCGATGTGCTATCAAATCGCCACTCTGGTTGAACGATTTGTCACATACATCGCACCCGTACGGTTTTTCACCAGTGTGTGTGCGTCGATGTCTTATCAAAATGCTTCTGTGAGAGAACGATTTGTCACACACGTCGCACCCGTACGGTTTTTCACCAGTGTGTGTGAGTCTTCGGTCGAACTTTATCTTGGTCATTTTTTTCGTCGGAGGTTGGGCAGGCTGTTTCTTTTTGGTAAATAATTTATTTAATATTCATTTGTTTTTTCTTAAAACTATTTGGTAACTATATACTTATCTGCTTATAATCGATTAGACTTTATTGATTTTCAAGCCAGTATTTGATGTAGTATATTTTTTACATTAAATAAAGTATAATATTATGCTTTTACGTATTATTAGTAATTTATATTAAACTTTATAATAATAACTGATACCCTTGCACTTMATATTYCCTTAAAAATACCAACTATTTATGATTCAAAATTTGTGTTTAATTTGTCGTTTAATACCAAATGTAGCTATTGATGTTCAAAACTTCTCGTGTTACAAATTCTCGTAGATTTACCCTATCTTAATCTCCATTAAAGATTTTAGACACAGTCGTTTAAAATACAGACATCATCGTTATAGAAAGAAGTAAAAATCACGGCCTCATTCTGGACCTGACAATCCGTTGGGCTTGGGAAACAAATGACCCGCAACAGAATAATGCAGTAAACGAAGAAAAGAAAAGTATCTATAGGCCGTGCATTCCATGGTTTCAACAACAGCATAGCATCGCAAATCGGGAAGTTTTTGGACTTTGGTTTGGAGATCGGGATACAGCCTCAGGGTTCCTAAACCCATTCTTCCGATCACACAACCTCGCTATGCAGGAGCTTATTAAATTATGTATATCAGTTTTGAAGGATTCACTATACATAATAAATTACCATCCATATTCATATAGTAAAATAAGTCCCTTTCGATTATGTTACATATGAATTTTATTAAACAGTTAATTGTTAAATTATAGATTGTCATAATATTATCCTTTATATTTATAAGTCAACCGTGAAAGTTGCAGCTTGCATGCTATAATTCTAGCATGCTATAACGTAACGTCTTATCTTGTACTACAACTATAATTTTAGCCAGTGTGTTTCGTAGGCTTATTACACCCACCCACCCTTAATAGGTATTGCAACTGCAATACCTGGACATAGGGATCGGCTTCACTGTTGGTAAGTATACTTTTGAATAATAGTTTATTTTTGAAGATTTATGAATTATATTATATATTAGATTGATTCACTTAAAAAATAATTATCGATTTTCCGATTTCGTATTATCGGCGATAGTGCGGTACCGCTATCATTTATTATACGAAAAATTATTATAATTCGAAGAACAGGAAATGATTATTATTAATTATTGATCATTGCAGCGATGACTACTCACGACCCACGGGCTGACCGAAGTCGTCTTCTGAACTTGACCTCACATTGGGAGTTGCCACTTTCGTGACCGTGTCGTCTGTCTGCCTCGCCCTCTCTTCCTTATCTTCCAGAGTAATTATCTCTTCTACCATCTTGTAAAAGATCATAAACGTATCCTCCCGTCAGATCTGGGTGACTCAACGGTAGGTCTTCAAAGGCTTGGCAGCTAATAATGTCCGATATATCCACTACGACCAGTGGGCCTCAAGATCCTCGTTTTACCACCCCAATACTGACACTCAAATAAAGTGTGGTTGACGATGATAGCATCAATGTTGCAGTGATTGGTCCATGTGCTGGCCGCACTTATACTTAGGTATAGTTCAGATTCATTTGGATACGCATTTAAACAATGAGCTAAGTTAAATGAAACTGAATTTAAAAAATCAGTGAAATAATATATAAAATAATACAAAAACATATTTACTAGATGTTATTAAAAAATTATTTAAATATTGACATTTAATTAAAAAAATTATTTTAAAACGGAAATATGCTTTGATAAAAAAATAAATACACAATTATTTTATATTATTGTTAAATATAAGTTATACATTTGTGCCAAATATACTTACGGGAATTATTAATGATTTATTTATGTAAATAATATTATACTTGTAATAATATAAACCTTTGGTGATATATTCGTAAAATAACTTTAAAGGTGGTACTTACCTACTTACCACATTAATTTTTAACGCATGACAATAAATTCAGAAATTCACTTTAAATTTACAATAATTAGCATGCTAATTATTTGTATTGAATTGGTATGTAAACCGTTATTTATTATTTTATTATTCTTTGAGATTATTTTTGTATTCATTCTTTACATAAATATCAAAGTATTTTGTTAGGTATTTGGAAAGTTATTTATTAGGTATTTATAATAAAATGTATTTCTACTATAATAGTACTATGTATCTCAATTATGATGGCGCCCATTTACTTCAAGTTAGGCAATTAAATATTATGTTTAGTTTATGTCGTAATGTTTGATGAATTATTAATAAATAATTATTATTGAACAAAAAAATATGTGTAGTTGAAAGTATATTATTATTTTGTACTCGGCAGATCAGCTCACCAATCCGAATACTCAAATTGCCGAATACGCCGACGACAAAGTAATATACTCCTCCCACACCGACCCGGGCTTAGTTTCAACCTCTCTCCAAAACCATCTGAATGACCTATCACACTGGTACTATCTCTGGCGCGTAAAAATAAATGAAAGCAAATCTGTACACACTAACTTTGCTCTCCGTCACAGCCAACCTCCACCAGTAAATATAAACAACAAACCGGTACTAAATTCCGACACAGCCAAATATCTAGGTCTAATTTTTGACAAACGTCTAACGTGGGCTAAACACATTCATGCAACAAAAATAAAATTAAACAAGCGACTTTACTCTCTCAGACCCATCCTTGGTAAGTTCTTAAAACTATCCCTCAGTACCAAAATTCACATCTACAATCTCCTCCTTAAGCCAATATGGTTATACGGTATACAGGTCTGGGGCACTGCCAAAAAATCGAATTTAAAAAAAATAAAAGTGTTACAATCTAAAATCCTCAGACTCATAACCAATGCTCCTCCTTATATCTCTAATCACACCCTTCATACTGATCTCCATATTCCTAAAGTCACTGAAACAGCCATGCTATTTTACTCTAAATTCAGAAAGAAATCGCCTTCATAATCACACTAAACCACGTCATGTTAAAAATTTACTATACATCTCCGTCCCTGGAGAACCCCCTAGAAGACTCAATCCATTGTCGATTGATCTTATAAATTAAGAACAAAAATCCTAAATAATTTGCAAATTCACGCCAAAGTGCCTTCGCTGGTTGGTTTCTCCCTCAAGACACTCAAGCTAATACATATATATGTATAATTTTAGAAAAATAACACCATTTATGCTTATTGTATTTTTTTTTATGTACATATTGTATAAAATCTAAATAAAAAAAAATATTATTATTTTAAACATACAATACAAATGTATTAAATTTAATTGGTAAGTCATAGAAATTAATGGTTTACTCATATAAATTAATAAATAGTTTTATTTCACAAATTTAGAAAAAAAAGCGAGTAAGTGGATGTCGCTCTGCTGTACATTAGGAGGTGGGGTGGACCTCTGACTAGGGTTGGTTAAATTTGAATGCAATGATAGATATCATTGTAAACGAAAAACTATTCTGAACGGAGATGATTTGTCAGTCTAGGATATATTATATTTAAATATTGCCATATATTTTATTTTGAAACAAATATTATATTTTTTAATTAGGACACATTTTGCATAAGGCATGGTTAATCAATTTTCCCAAAAACATTGCATGTAGTTATCATAATTCATATTACCTTATATTATCATAAATATACATATATTATCTGGTTTGAGGATAAATCGTTATCGTAATAAAAGTTCAGTTGTCTATAAATATCTCAAAAAAAGTCAAAATATTTTGAAAAGAAAATTATGTAAAGAAAATTCCAATCTAAATAACTGGTAAAATTTTCAAGTATCTACGACTTATACTTTTTGAATAATAACAAATATTTAAAATCGTTTTAGGATAAATCGTTATCGTTACCTACGCTACCTATATCGTAAAAATTTGAAATTTAAACGCACTTAAAATTTTTCCTATAATGATGCTTCGAGTTTTCTCTATAGCTACTCGAAATAAAACATATGGAAAACTTAGTGCTGTATTTTTAATACTTAGTTATAAACAAAAAAAATTTTATGATTTTTCAACTTAAAAATTATTTGCAAATTTTCGTGTTTTCGACAGATTTCGTAAAAATTTGAAGTATAAACGCTTATAAAAAATAATTGTGACAAACGATTTTTAATTTTGTTTAGCTACAATAAGAACMACTCATAAGGAACCTTGTATTAAATTTTCAAGTATTTTTGGTCATCTCAATTTTTTTTTACCGACCCTTCAAAAAAAAAAATTCTCATCAAAATTTCAGTGGTCTATAAATATCTCAAAAAAAATTAAAATTGAAAATTAAACTGTATATAGATAACACTGATATAAAAATTTCAAGTATTTACAGTGATTAGTTTTTGAATAACTATATTTTAAAATTATAAAAAAATCGATTTGGTCGAAAACTGGTTTTGCGTAAAAATTCCCGTTTTTTTGTCATTTATTTTTTGTTTTTCTCGATTATTTTGAAAACTGATAAAAAATGATTACATTTGATTACTATAATGCACCAAGGATATTCACTTTTACATCGGAAACCACCCCCAAAGTTTGAAATTGAAGCTTTATTTCGACTAGGTATGCTTTACACAGACAAAAAAAAAAAAAACACAGTATTGTAAAATCAATACATTCATCACTTCGTTCAGAAACTAAAAATATTATTAGCTATACTTATGATACAGTTCTTTTTGTTTAAAATGTATAAGAAAATGTATGGTATATATTTTTAGTTTTATAGGTGATTTATCAATTATTTATTTAGTTGCTTGCAACTGATGTCTAAACATTTAAGCTTCCGATAAGACGTACTATTTGCTAATATATATATATATATACAGGGTGATTCTTTAATCAAACAACACTCATTATTTCAAAAACTATTGACTTTTTTTCAAATTTTTTTTTTCAGAATTTTAGAACCATCCTGTTCCAGAACTATATATTTTTTTTAAATATTTTCTCCCTTATATTTATCAG